AAAAGCTTCCCCACAGTCAACAAAATATACTAGAGTTTGTGAAATTTTAAGCCATCTGAAACCTGGGGGATCCTGTTTGAAGGAGTTCCAAGAGTTGTAAATAGAGCAACATTTATCAGGGAGGACCTGTACATCTCTAGAGTTTCCACCCTCCTCCTCTGCTGCCACTTTTTGAAACAACTACCGGTATTTGTCCCTGAGATCTGGGTTCATCCACTGCTTGATTAGGAGCTGTCCATGGTCCTTAGATTCCTGTACTGTACTTGAAAGTGAGATGTTTATGGCTTGGTACTTCCAGATGATTATAGTCTTTAGGGCAGGAGAGGGGAACCTCTCATAGATTAGGGTGGCTCTCTAGATAAGGTTGCTTCAATGTGTGGCCTCAATGATTTTTTTGGCAGCCCTCTGTCAGAGCCCTCCTGTCTTTTCCCCAAAGCCTAGATAGTTTTAGGAAGGAGGTGGGAGGGCTCTGGGACCCTGCCAGAGCCTTGCACTTCCTTCCTAAAGCCTGGCACCTCGCTTATCCTGTTTTGGGAAGGCAACCGAAGGGCTGGGCAGGGAACATCAAATGTTAGCCTTGCTCCCCAGCCCCACATGACAAGGCAGTGTGCAGCCCGCGGGTTCTGTGTCAAAGTACTCTTGTGGCCCACTTTGTATGAAAAATTGGGCTACCCTGCTCTAGATGTTGCTGGATTCCAACTCCCATCAGTCCCAATCCGCCTGGCCAATGATCATGGATGGTGGGATATATAGTCCATCAACAACCAGGGGAACAAAGGGTCCCCATCCCTGCTTTAGGCCTTATTTACAAGGCCAAGATATACAGCATGCTATCTCATAGTTAAAAAAAAAAATAGCATACAAGGAATTCCAGTATTTCAGTAATACTCGCTTGCTGAGCCTCACTCAGTAAAACCTCCAAAAGTCATAGAAAAAAGGGGATTTATAGGAAACTGACAAAACTCAGAGCTGGTTAATTATCCCCCAAGCCAGCTCATAATCCTGCCTTCCCAGGGCACTGTTAAAATAATTTCACAGCATCTAGAAATAAACAGAGATCTATCTAGGTCATCTGCTCATTTCAATGTCACAGCACAAATGTCTGTTCAATTAGTGGTGCTATCCTAGGTAAACTACTGTGAGTGGAGGGCTCAGTCCTGTCAATTTTCAATTGCCTGTTTGTTTCTAAATGCTTATTGCCGTCACCCTGGGGTTTCCACATCTCCCTTCACGCAGACAGAGGAATGGGTGCCAATTAGGTGGGAAAGCATGATGCATTTAAACTATTAATAAGGACACTTCCACTTGTGCAACAGAGCTTTCCCCACTCTCCTCCCACCACCCTGAAATTGTCTCAGGGGGGTCAGGAGAACCCCCACCTCAAACACTGTGGGGAAGCAGGGAAGGGAGGATCATTCCATCTGGAAAGCTGATATGCTTTTGCAAATGGATTGTTTGTAGTAGCACAATGCTGGATTCCATCCTTAGTCATCACACTACAGGGACATTCAGAGACATGTCCACCTTACAGCTGAAGGTAGGCAGGTGGGCCTGTTTCAAAGGCTCATTCTCTTTGGAACACAGATATAATCAGAAGTAGCCTATTGGCTACCCTTTCCCCAAAAAAGGCACCCTGTAGACACAGCTCTCCAGTGTTCACAAGATGCCAAAAGCAAAATAGCCTTGAGCAACTTAATGAAATAATTTCCTCCCTATAGAAAAAGCTTGAGGTTTCACAATGCCTGCTGAGTCAGAAGCAATTCTCGAGATTTCAAGCTGAGGCGAAGCTAGCTGGAAACTATACGCAACAGTGATGGGGAATCTGTGGCACTCCAGATGTTGCTGAACTCCAATTCCTATCACCCTGACCACTGGGCAATGCTGGCTGGGACTGATGAGAGCTGGATTCCAATAACATCTAGAGAGTCATAGGTTGTCCATCCCTGAAACAGAAGCTTGTAAACAGACACCATTATGGCAGGTGGGGTGGGGCTGCTTCTAAAAACTGCATGGAAGTTTCAGTTAATGGATTTTTAAAGAAAGTAGTAAGATATTTATTTGACTTTTTTTTTTAACCCACCATTTACCACAAGGTCCCAGGGTGGGTCACAGCAATGTGGGGGGCGAGCAATATTAAAACCAGTTTAAAACAAATAAGAATAAAAAAACATGAAAGTTTCTAAAATATACAGTGCGGGGGGGGGGAGTATTTGATCCCCTGCTAAATTTGCCCGTTTGCCCTCTGACAAAGAAATAACCAATCCATAATTGTAATGGTAGGTTTATTGTAGCTGTGAGAGACAGAATAACAACAGGAAAACCCCCAGAAACCCAGAAAAGTCAGAGATTGATGTGCATTATAATGAGTGATATAAGTATTTGATCCCCTATCAACCGGCCAGATGTCAGGCTACCTGGTATCTTCACTGTATGTAAATGAGCTGAGATTAGAAGTACCTGCTGTAAGGGAGAGGTCTTACCTGTAATCCCAGCTCATTACAGTACCTGTACGAAAGACACCTGTCGACAGAAGCAATCAATCCAGCAGATTCCAAACTAGCCACCATGACCAAGACCAAAGAGCTGTCCAAGGATGTCAGAAAGCTCAGACGCAGAAAGCACAGATCAGCTGGTGCAGGCATGGCGTATAATAGGAGAGACGGAAGGGGTGGGACTTTACTCAGAGCAATGCCATTATCCAAGAGAGACGGCATCATGTCTCTCTCTCCGTGAATATTTAATAAAATGCCTTGGTAAGAATTTCTTGTTTTCCCATTTCTGGCAACCAGCCGTGAGGGAAGGGGATCAGATTCCCTGACGCCTGACACCTATGATAACAAAACTAGAATTAGTTGGCTCTGCCTGTCATTGGTTCTGGCTTCTCCTACCGTTGACACCCCCCCCCCTCCGGCCTTCCTCCCCAATAGTCTCAGTGAGCCCCAGCCACTACTGTTCACAATTAACAAGCCTGGAAATTAGGCATTCTTCACTCAAATCACTTCCAACAATTACATTTTCATTTTGTTCAAAAATTAGTTCCTTTCCCTTTTTTTCCTTTTGCAATGCCAGTGAAGAACTAAATAATTCCATGTTACATTCCGTTCCAATATAGTGTGTTTTACTGCATGTTTTATGTGGATTTGAAGACAGTAATTTTAAAAATGTTTACTCCAGGGATTACCTTTTTAAAACCTAGATTTGCTTCCTTCCCAGAAGACACTTGTAACATGCAGAAGCAGATAATTAGTTCTGTGCGATTGCTAGATGTTAGCAGTGCAAATTTGCAAAGTGAAAAATGCTTTCGCTTCCTAGAGGCCTTGAACTCCGAGCTACCTGGACTTGCTTTGACTGAACTGCAAACAATAACATTTACAGAGAACCAAGGCTGAGGATCTCGTTTAGTGCCTGGCTCTGTTTGCTGAAATTGTTCTCCTGTAATCTTACCAGAGCACTGTTGTATTGTGTAGCAGAGTATTGATTAGCCACACTTTCCAAGTTTCCGGAATGTGGATACAAGATAATTTCATTATCTACCTTTGTTTAAATGATAATTTTATTTACTTTGTGTACTGCCACATTGAATCCTGCAAGCAGACGGTAAAATTCCTGGTAGCATTTTAGCATTTCTGCTAATTTTCAGTGCTCTGTTATGGCTAAGCATGACTCATTTTTGCTACCATTTATACCAGGGGTGGGGATTCTGAAGCCCGGGGGACAAATGTAGCCCTCTTCGCCTCTCCATCTGATGCTGTAAGGAATGACTACATGTGACTTAATGCCCTTGTTATGTATATATGAAAACTGGACCTATATGCAAACCGTCTCTAAAAATTCCTCATCCTATTTGTGGGCAGAGAAATTACGGGAACCATTTCATCACCAAAGAGAAATTCTCCAGCAGTTTCTTGATACTGGGGCTCACCATTAGCTGTGGCAGTAGCTCAGTCCTCTTCTCTCCCCACCCCCCCAATAAAATACATTTAAAAATGCCAATGAAAAAGGGCAAATGAAAATGGAGAAGCAATGAAAATGAAGAGGGCAAAGGGAATATCCTTCATTCCCCACCCTGCCAGTTTCCTTCTTGAACATGCATCATTTCCCTCGGCATGTTTTGTTTCAAATAGATTTGTGCTACTTTTCTAAACAGTATATTCCCCAAATTGCCTGTTTAAGCATGACTACTGGGTTATGGCTCAAATGCTGGTAACTAACAGGCTTTTTTAACAGGGCTATAACAGACTCTCTAGCTGGGCTCCAAACACATGCCTGCACAGGGTTTTGCCTAACCCAGAAAAGGGCAAGTGAGAAGGCAGGGCTGTTTTTAAGGAGTCCTATATGCCTGAATTCAGCACACCCCTCTGCTAAACTGCAGACTGCTTTGAACAGTAGGCCCCTATCTCTCACAAGCAGGAGCCTGGTTCTCTAAGCAGCATAGGGAGAACATTTTCCAATCAGGGTGCCACCACTGAGAAGGCATTTTTCCCAACTGCCATCTGTCACAGAATACTTGGCATAATGCCTCCAAGCATGAAGGTGCCATTAAGCTTTAGAGCATCTTACTCTCAGGGTTGTGGGCAAAATATTCCTGCATTGCAAGGGCTTAGACTAGACAACCCTCATGGTCCCTTCCAATTCTATGATCCAATGATTCTATGGTTCTAAAGCTACAGACTTCCCTCTCCCCCAGGAGTAGATCTTGAATTTATTTTATCTTACCATTCCACCCCACCTGATTCATGCCATCCACATTCTAGATCCTCCTCAGTTTCCCTACCCTTCTGTGTTCCAATTATGGAGAAAAGCCTGAGAATAAAATGACTCTCTGTTTAAAAATCCAGTATACCTTCAAGATGTCTAGGCCTAGTCCAAGACATTTTGCTGCCTGAAGCAAAAGACAAGGGAAGGTGGTTTATACCAAATCAGACCATTCATCCATCTAGTTCAATACTGTCAACACATAATAAGTAGTTCTCCTGGGTTTCAGATACAAGTCTTTCCCATTCCTACCTGGAGATGCTGGGGACTGAACTCAGGATCTTCTGCATACAAAGCAGATACTCTACAGTACCACTAAGCTATGGATGTGATGAATGATTATGCCTCTCTGTGTGTATTGAAGCAGACTGGACTGGAGCTGAATCTTACTTCAGTGCTAGCAATGGGACAACATTCTCTACTGCACTCAAGAGCAGCAGACTAGCTTAGGAGGAACAGCGCAAATTACACAGCACACAAAGTTCCAACAGATCACTGCTGCTCATCACCTCCCAGCAAACATAGCCTGAGGTAGCCATCACATTATGTTTAATGATAGGGCTGGCCCTGCCTAGTTTCTCCATTTCAAAGCAGCTGCTGTGTCCTGTCTCAAACATCTCTCAAATATATAGCATAGAATCCCTTCCATCCCCACTGAAGGATCCTGTCTAATAGGGGCAAAGAGGAAACATCTCCTACTTCATGTGTTTTACTACCATTAACCTGAGCCAGAAAGGCATTAACAACCCATCTCCCCAGATGCTTCTTGCCTACAAGGGGCTTATTCTGTATGACATGTGCAATCTCCTTGTCCTTTACTTAACACCATGGATGATCCATACTCCTCACAAGGATTCCTCTTTAAGACTGCCTACTAAAGGCTATTCCATTTTCTTTCTTTCTTTCTGCTACCTATCCGAGTTCTCCCTCAATTGTGATATTAACAAAGCTTCTTAACATTGGAACTCAGTTCAGCAGATCAAGAATGACCCTTTGAGTGCCAGATTGCTTGTTCCTGCTACACACTTTAATGAAGGGGAGACGAGAGGGAAACAGATTGAACTCAGCAATGACCAGATATTTAACTGGCACTTGCCCCCTCCCAAATGTAAAATTATCTCACAGATTGTGGAGTTCCCCTCACTCAAGATCTAGGGTGGCCACTTATTCATCAATAAAAAAGGACACCGATTTTCATAATAGTTCCACGAGTCAGCTTATATTCATAATTATAAAAAATGTTCTAATTTAAATAGAAATACCATACATCTTGGCATAGTACGGGAGATGAACCTTGTTGTTGTTGATGATGATGTTACTGATCAGTCTAATATTCAAGTGCTTAGTGTTGATGGGCAACTTGAAGACTCCAGCTGATCTCTCTTCTTAGGGTTCTGCGTCTTTAAGCCAGATCAAATGGACCAGGTGACCATTCAAATAGAGGATGCCTTCCATTAGAAGACTCCTTTGACAGCCCTTCAAAGAGAGAACCACTTTCCATTAAATCGAGAGACATGGCCACCCTATCAAGGCATAGAGCAGGATTGGTAATCTTGTGTTATTCATGGACTAGAATTCCAACCAACCCTAGTCAGCATAATCAATGGCTAGGGATAATAAAAGCTACAATCCAACAACATCTGGGATGCCACAGGCTGCCTATCTCTGGACTAGAGGGAATTGATTGATAGTGGCGGCAGCAGCAGTATGCTGAAGTGCTGTGCCTGGCCTTAGCATCTAGAAACCCAGGCATTTCTTCATAGCAAAATTACTCAATCTCCTGTCCTCTGGAGCCAGTATTCCATACCCTTCCCTCTTTACAACCTGTCCTCTTGATTACTATTCTCCTGCAACTACATCCTTCTCCTGTAGCATTAATGTCTTGGTGATGACTGTCAGAATTTTCAAGGGCCCATGATAATATGACCTAAGCTGAACATCAAAGAAGTACCATATATTTCCATGTATAAGACTTTTTTTTAGTAAATTTATTTTATTTATATACATGGATGGTGAATGCACTAAAAGCTCAACAACTTGGGGTGAGCTCCCAAAACAGCTCAACAATTTTGCGTGATCTTGGGTATTGGTGAGACGCGACCAAAGCACCAATGGGGATTGCTACACTGGTGCCGGTGCTTTGAATATTTAATAAAATATCAGAGTTGATCTGTTTGATGTTTAAAATATTGATTTCTTAATTTGGGGTTAAAAAAAAAGATAGGGGCCGTCTTATACATTGGGGAGTCTTATACTTATGATACTTAAACTATGGTCTACCTGAATATTTCATGGCTCCCTGACTAGGCTTAGCCTGTGTAGAGAAAATTCTTGAGTCTTAAGTAAAACCTGAGTTAAGCTCCTTCTAGAATGCTAGGAGGAAAACATGGAATGGACTTCTAAACATTATAATCACCTGGCTTTGGACTCTTACGGCACACAAATCTACTCAGAAGTGAGCCACATTAAGTTCACTGCAACTGTCTCTTTAGTAAGTGCATATAAAAAAATCGAATATAGCCTGGCAACTTGAGCTTTCCCCTGACCCTATTCCATGGAAGGATAACCATTTAGCTCCAGTTCTGACAAGACATTCTGCACTGTGGCTTACACTGTCAGTAGCACAACTGCAGACCAGGAATAACTTTGACTCCAGCCAGTATAGCCAATGGGCAGACATGATAGGAGTTGGAGTCCAACCATGTCTGAAGGGCCACAGGTTTCACATTTCTGACCCAACGTATTTATAATTAGTCCAGGAACATTTAGCGATCCCAGATTGTAAATCTCAATAAAAACTGTTAATGAAAAAATATATAGATCTGAATTATAATGCAGCATCCTTTGATTTAATTTCATTGCATGAAGGCCCAAAGAGAGCTTGCGTGACAAGTTGTACTACTTTGGTAGCACTTTAAAAGAACTATCAGTAGTTCATGCCTAATTACTCCTGTATTAGCTAGGTGATTCATCAGATCTGATTATGGATGCATAATGAATTTACCAAATCCGTATATATTAGCAAGATTAATTCTATACAAATCCCTACAATTCAGCCATGTGCTATTTGTTTTTGTCTCGCCTCCCCTCTATTCCTTTTTTATAAGCTAATTAGCTCAAATTATTTGTGTTTGAATAAGGGCTTGAAACACACATAAGGAATGATGAGCTTCTAAGTAAGTAAATGAAAATGTATGCAGCCTACATTAATTGTGACGGAAGCTTCATAAAGAATTAATATCTTTCAGCCATCTCCGTTTTCCGTCATAATAATAGGTCTAATCGAGATGAGTGGGTAAAACAATGCAGAGCCCATCACTAATGCAGCTACACATGGATTACTAAATGAACATCTTTAGGCACAGTTCCTGCTTTTGATGTTGTGCACAGCAGAAAGTTTCCCCTTCCGCCTACAGAAAATAAGGCCACTTTTCTCCTAGGAGTTTTCGTTGACTTTCTCTATCTTTCCTCCTGAGCACACAAGAAGGGTGAGGAATATTTCCTTTAGCCCAAGGTTTGCATTCCCTTATAGGAAACATGTGTGTGTGTATCTGTGCCTGTGCCTGTGCCTGTGCGTGCCAGTGGTAGGTGAGACCAGGGCTAAAAGAGGGTGGTGCCACAGAGGGTGACTCTTACCTTTATACAGTAGTCTACATTTTGACTACACAGAAGCACCCACCCTACCTACACATCTCTCCATCCCCCATTCAGGTAAGCAAGAGGAAGTATCTCAGACTCAGGACATATTCCAGGCAGGCCAAAGCAAGGGAGCAAGATGCGAGGGGGTATGGTCTAGGAAGAGTCTCAGCAGAGGCGGTTTTAAGGTGGTATGACTGCTGCAACAGCGCTGGCTGCTGCACTGCATGGGGCACCACAACAATGCTACAGAACAGTGTGAGAGAGGCAAGAGGGCACCACATTTTAGAGTTGCATGGAGTACCTCTGAAATTTGAGAGTCCAAAGTCTGCCACTGGTCTCAGGAGCCAGAGAGAGAGGCCTGGAGGGCTGTGTTAGGGCCCCAGGTCTGTGGCTCCCCACCTATGCTGCACAACCAGGAAGACTGGAGATCACTAGCTGAATTACTTTATGTCAATGGGTTTCAGACTATATCACAATGGTACCTTGGTTCTCAAACTTAATCTGTTCTGGAAGTCCGTTCCAAAACCAAAGCGTTCCAAAACCAAGGCATGCTTTACCATAGAAAGTAATGCAAAACAGATTAATCCGTTCCAGACTTTTAAAAACAACCCCTAAAACAGCAATTTAACATGGATATTACTATCCAACAAGACCATAAAATGAAAGCAATAATCAATGTACTGTACTATTGAATAAATAAGACTGTATTGTAGATGATAAAAATTAAAATTAATTTTTATTGTACTGATGATAGTCATTGTTTGGATTGCTTTTATCCATTTCCAGTCACACATTCAATCAGTAGCTGAACTGGGTTCCACACAGTGACAAAAACAAATTAACCGAAAAAGCCTCAAAACAAAAACGCAAAATAAATAGCAAAAACAAAAGTACCAAACTTAATCTGTTCTGGAAGTCTGTTTGACTTCCAAACTGTTCGAAAACCAAGGCGCAGCTTCTGATTGGTGTAGATGCCCTGGAAACAATAGCCGCATCAGACAATCGGCTTCTGAAAAACGTTCTAAAACTGGAACACTAACTTCCAGGTTTTCAGTGTTTGGGAACCAAGGCGTTTGAGAACCAGGGTACCACTGTATATGGAAACTTGGATTCCTCAATTGGAAGACAGTGACAGATGGACTACAAGAGTGTATTCTGCAAGCTCTTATTTTGGCAAAGAGACATATTGTAAGGCTGGAAGAATAAGCAGCCATCATCTACTATTCAGTGGCCCGATGATCTCACTGAGCATATGGTTTATAAGATACTTGCTTGGTAATGTGGACTGCTTATATTAATCTAGGATTGATACTGATAGAATATTTTTATTGTTAATGTTGGTGGGCAATAGAGATTAGGTATATGTGGTTCATGTATTGTTTCAGAAAGTTTGAATTTGGTAGGTTCACCTTTAAACGCAAACTTAATTGAATTCTCTCCCATTCCTATCTGGCTGTATTTATTTCCAAATTCCTCCTTTCTTTTTGCTATATTTGCAAATAAAAATTCAAAGAAGAGGAAGTAAAAAAAAAAGTGGTGTGCTGTTGCCATATTTCTTTCCCCACAATGTCATTGGTCTTCATGAGAGAGAAAAGCAGAACAGCTAGGGTGGGATGGTGTCCCCCCAAAAAAAATCACCTTCTCCAGGGTTCCTCCCAACCTGGGCTTGGAATCAAATGCAGCACACC